AATAGGATGGGCAGAGAAGGAAATTTTTAGAAGTAAGTGTAAAGTGAAAAAAGGTAGTTGAATATGTTTCCCGCGGCCGCTGGGAGCAAGTTGTTCTGCATGTAAGTTTAAGGTGTGTGGTGCTTCGTGCCGCGGACTATACTAGTCTAGCGCCAGAACGGTAAGTTGGACCTCAGATAAGTTGAAGTAGACGACCTCCTAATCACCATATCTATTTTTTCAGGAATTTCAAAAAACTTGCGTTTTGATGATCGGTTTTTCCGCAATACGCTAAACGATTATACAGAACAGGAAAGTCTACAGATATAAATCAACAACATTTCTAAATACGATAAAATAAAAATGCATATACCAGTTATTAAAGTATATTTCACTGCCTATCCTAATTTTCCACAAATAAGGCCCATATAACCACCATTTCTATAGGACAAATTCTGGGACTAGGGGTATATGGGGTGAGCTACTTAAACTACTGTTGCCGAAATAACTATTGTGGTGCTTAGGAAGAAGAATATAGATTGGGTGTATGTCTGTTCAATCGTGCACTTAATTTGTCACATGATCTTGTTTAACAAAATATAACCCCAAATGGATCTAGATGCTAAGTGATATTCACCGCGGATATGTCTGCTGAAATGTCTTGTCATGGATGGTTCAAATCTCTCACCTGTACATCTTAATTCCCTACATATTTACTATGAAGGCGTCCCTCAATTACCTCAAAGAAGATTACGTTTTTTAAGAATTTTACGAAAGCCATAGCGATGTTCCAAGTGAAGGGAGATCTACATGGCCCACGGCTATGCTTCAAAATCGCTGGGTTGCTAAGCCACAGAATTCTTTTAATAAACTGCTTTAAAACAAGTACAAACTGCAGGAGCCACTGCCGCCAAAATATACCGTGACAATTTAGCAGCCACTATAACACTAATAATGAGAAATACATATGTAGCAAGTCGAGAATATACATAAAACTGGCAAGCGTTTTGAAAAGGTGCTCGCTTCCCATCCCTGTGGCCTTGTGCTAATTTCAAGGATTACCAGTGTTTGTGTCAAGCTAGCGTTTTGGCCAAGGTTATGTTTAAGGGTAGTGTTAAAATTTGGGTAATTATTCGATAAAAGTGCAACAGTAGTTTAAGTAGTGCATATCATATACCTCTAGTCTCAGTATTTTGTCCGACGGAAACGGTGGTTATGGGGGTTTTATGTGTGGAAAATTAGGATAGGCAGTGGAATATACTTTACTAACTGCCTATCCTATTTTCCCACCCTCAAAACCCCTAAAACCACCGTTTCCGTGAGATAAAATGCTGGGGCTAGGGTATAGAAGGTGCACTACTTAAAGTACCTTTGCCGTTATTTCAGTTAAATTAATTACTGATATCCTGCGTATGCTCGCTACGTCAAGCTATTTCTATGCACTAGCCCTATCTCAGTGAACGTTTCTTCGCATGCTTCTTCTACAACTTTTCCTCTTCTTCTTCTTCTTCTTCTTTCCCATTTTCTTTCCTTAGAATACACGAGGAGCAAATGTTTACCGACTGCTCTATGATTACAATTTTATAAAATGCGATTTTGTAGGGGAGAAGTATCCTAAAGTTATCGGCTGACAGCATAATTACAATAGGGTCGCGGGTCAGTATTTGCAACAACTAAAAGGCCAGTTTTTATAGGAGAGAAGGCGGTGAGAAAAGAAAGCCGAAAGGATGCTCTGAGTGGAGATTTTGAGGGGAACAAATGGTTATTCAGAGTGAACAACACGCTCTAACCACAGCTTGCCTTTTTTTAGAAAACATACAATTTGCAAAAGTAATTAACACAGATCACTTAAGGGCTGCATTGAAATCTTACCTGTTCTGGAAACGTAGGTTCTCGATAAAGTCTATTCAGGATCAGGACAACCAGTACACAGGCGGGGATCTGATCGAACTGGCGCATTCGCAACAGCATTTCCGCTATTCTAAATCGGCCACAAATAACGGCCAGGAAGAGAAGAGAAGTGTGCAGTGGAGCCAGAAGGACCACACCGTCCACAGAGAGCTGCTCAAACACGACCAAACCCGTCAGGCTTCGTAGAATAGTCAAAAAGTCATGGGTCTTTAGGTTGGTTGCAAAATTACTTTGAATGTGCGAGTAGACACCGGTACCGTTTTCATAGCAGTCAGAAAACAGCTCCGCTCGCTGACCTGAAGTTAGGCCCTGCGAGGTCTCAAAGTCGGCTGGCGAGAAGCGGTTCTGTGTAGCGCCATGCATTGCCCTACCCCGCAGCTCCCTCTTCTTCTTCATGTAGTCGGGCGTACTGCGTGCCCAGATGAGAGAATCTCGGAACGTCTCCAGCAACTCCACGTCATCGTTGA